CCAGGATAGGCTCCAAAGCTACTCAGAGAAACCCTGTCTCAAAAAACCAAAAAAAAAAAAAAAAAAAAAAAAAAAAAAAAAAAAAAAAAAAAAAGAAAGAAAGAAAGAAAGAAAAGAAGATATATATTTTTCTGTCTTTCTATAGGTTAGGTTAGTATAACAAAAGTACTGTAGATGCTTGTTTCTCATAATTCTGGACATTGGGATTCCAAGACCAAAGGCACCAGTGCCAGGTCAGAAGGACTCACTTCTTAGTATTTGGATAGCACTCTTCCTGCTGCATCAGATGGCAGGAAAGAAAGAGCAAGAGAGTCCTCTCTACGGTCCTTTTAGTAAGGAATGAGATTGTCCTTAAGACCTAATTACTAAGCAGAGAAGCTACCTCCTAAAACTATTTTGTTGGGGTTTTGAGCATGTGAGTCAGAGTATCCAAATCACTTTTTCTTTTGGAGACAGACTCTTTCTAAATAGCCTTGTCTGTCCTTGGACACCCTGCCCCCAATCCCCAAGGATGGGAGATTAAATATTATGCATTTTTTACCACCAGACCAAATAAATGCTTAATAAAATAAGAACTGAATGATAGTTTTATAGTCTGGTAAAGTAACAGCACAGTGAATGTGTATGAGAAAGCACTCTTCTTACTAGTGACATACAGAAGTCAGATGGTTGTGCTGAGTGGTGTTTAAATGTGTGGTAGTTTGCTTGTAATGGCCCACATAATCTCATAAGGGGGTGGCAGGCACTATTAGCAGGTGTGGCTTTGTGGGAGTGGGTATGGCCTTGTTGGAGGAAATGTATCACCGTAGGGGCAGGTTTTGAGGTTTCCTATACTCCAGATACTGCCCAGTGAGTCAGTCAGCTTTCTGTTGCTTGTGAGATGTAGGACTTTCAGCTACTCCTCCAGCACCATTTTTACCTGTATGCTGCCTTGATGATAATGGACTGAACCTCTGAAACTGTAAGCCAGCCCCCAATAAAATGTTTTCTTTATTAGAGTTGCTATGGTCATGGTGTCTCTTCACAGCAATAGAAACCCTAACTAAGGCAAACAGCATTCTTGAAGTTTCCTCTATTTATCCCAATTAGAGAAGGGAATGGAATGAATAATATCAGTAATGGAAAAGATGGGACTCGATTTTCATTATTGCAGAGACTAATATACAGATGTTATTTCTTTTAAATTTATCAATTTAGTGTATCTGTAGTGGGAGAGACTTATGTAGGTAGATCATGATACATGTATTTTTAATCCACTGGTGTATATCTGTAATACCAGGACTTGGGAGACAGTGACAGAATTTAAAATTCAAGGCCAATCTGATCAAGGAAACCAGAGCAGAATCTAGAAATAATGTGGTGTTAAGTAGATGATGAATATTTTGGGATAACGACTATCATTTAGAAAATATCTAGTTATGTAAAATTAAGTTCTAGGTGAAGAACTGCTTAAAAAGAGACATTATAAGAGAATGTAAACAAAACTTTATTCAATATAATCTTTGACATGACTCATTGCTATAGCAAGAATATTAATAAATTAAATATGTATAATAGAGGATATAATTAACAAAGATAAAATGATAACCTGAGGTACAGATTTTGGCATGTACCTCAGAGATTAGTTTCTAAAGCAGTAAGAGGCTAGAGTTGCTTGCTCCTGCTTTCTCCTTCTTATTTATTCCCTTATACAACAATTATTAATTAAGCCCTTAGTGTGTATTTGATCTTGTAGATCAAATGGAGATAGATTTTTACTGTCGGTGCCCTCTAAGACCCCTGGATTTGAAGTGGAGAGTTGGCTCTTCAGCTAAGAGTGCTCCCACCCTCACGTCATTCTGCACACGTAAGAGTGATACGCCTTTCAATCTCTGGCTTCTCAGGCTTAGTGAATGACAACAGTAAAAGAACATTTGTGATATTACACATTACAATTTTCTGTTTCATGTGTGAACATGATTCTGAGTACCCCACCTAAATTAAAACTAAAACTTTGATTAAGTACTATATTTTATGTTTGTGTTGAAGTTTCTTTGTTGTTTGAACTTGAATTTTCTGTTGGTAATGGAATTATATCATTGCTTGACTTGCTAGATTTTGTGCTGTGCTGTCCCTTTGCTTTGGTAGATGAGTGAGGACATCTGTTGGACAAACAGTAAATTGCATGCCATACATGCCATATTTGGTTTTGGACACTTGGAGTTGTAAGAAACTTTGCAGGTTATTGCTATACAGCAAACTTTGAAACTAAACTATGATTCTCAATGTCTTGGTAGCGGATATTAATGTTGGCTATGGAGTTTTAAGAAGATCTTTATTCTTGTGTGTACTAAGCATTGCAACTCAACAAGATATTTCAGACCTCTTTGGCTCTTTTTAGATGGTTTTTTGTTTTGTTTTGTTTTGTTTTGTTTTGTGATGAGGTCTGGCTGTTTAGCCCA